CCCCAAAACCCCAAAACCCCAAAACCCCATCATCTTCAAATGCCTGTTTATGGCTAAGAAATTATAAATAGGAATATTTAACAAGAATAATAATGCAAACATTTTAGAAATATCTTCTATTTCAGACTAATCATTTGGGCTAGCATTCCTCGCAGCAATTTGTAAATTCATTACAGCCAACATTGAGATTGTTTTCAACTGAGAATCTAGGTAACTCCTAGTAAAGTTTCAAAAAGCTTGATCTAAAGGGCATGACTCTCAAGATGATGAAAGGCCAGGTCTAGCTTCCATTCAAATAGGACAAGAAATATGATGTGGTCGTTATTGGAGGAGGTACTGGAGGTCTCAGCTTTGCTTAAGAAGCTCGTAAGTTAGGGCTTAGTGTGGCGCTCTTCGATTATGTTGAGCCCTCCCCTCAAGGAAGCACCTGGGGTCTTGGTGGTACCTGCGTGAATGTTGGCTGCATTCCAAAAAAGCTATTTCACATCTCTACCCAGGTAAAGGAGAATATTGAGATGAGTGGGGATTATGGCTGGATTGAAAGTAAAAACATGCATCCAACTCATAACTGGGAAACCCTAAGAAATAATATCTAAGACTATATTAAAGGAATTAACTTTGGATATAAAAATAAGCTGAAGGAAATTGGAGTAGATTTCATCGATGCTAGGGCTTCATTTAAAGATGAGTTTACGGTTGAGTTTAATTACCCTTAGACTGATAATACTAAGTCATATGAAATTAAAGCTGATAACTTTGTAATTGCAGCAGGTGTAAGACCGAGACATTATGAAAATATGCCTGAGCTAAGGGATTATGCAATAACAAGTGATGATTTATTCTCATTGAAGGAAAACCCTGGAAAAACCTTAGTAATTGGTGGAGGCTATATTGCAGTAGAGTGTGCTGGATTCTTAGCTGGCCTCGGAAATGAAGTCATTCTGGCAAATAGATCCTCATTTTTGAGAGTATTCGATCAAGATATGGCTGCAAAAGTTGAAGAATAGCTTGTAGAGGAAGGTATAAATCTAATGAAAAATACAGTGATAAGGAGTGTATAGAAGTTGGGTGATAAGTTATTCGAAGTAGAACTAGAGATAAACAAGAATAATCTAAGGAAAATTCAGGTTAATACAATTATGATGGCAATAGGAAGAGACGCCAATCCGAATAGCTTTGGTGCTGAGAATGCTAAAATTCAAACAGAGAAAAATTCAAGGAAAATCCTTGGAAGATCTGAAGAGATAGAGAGAACCAATATTGATCACATTTATGCTGTCGGAGATGTAGTTCATAATGTGCCTGAGTTGATGCCTGTAGCCTAAAAATCAGGTAGACTTCTAGCACATCGTGTCTTCCTCAGAAAGTAAGGAGAGGTTGCTGAGGAAAAAATTCTAAAGGAGTACAGCACAGACTACAATCTGATACCGACCACTATATTTTCCCCGACAGAGTATTCTTTTGTTGGACTTAGTGAAGAAGAAGCTAGTGCTAAATACGGAGCAGACAATATCGAAATTTATCACAGAGAAGCTACTCCTTTACAGTATAGTTTATATAAAAAGAACACAAAAGTAGCTTACATGAAATTGATTGTAGACAAGACCTAAAATGAAAAAGTAGTTGGTATTCATTATTTTGGACCTGCAGCTGATGAAGTAATTGGAGGATTTGCAGTGGCTATGAAATTAGGAATGACTAAAAGAGATCTTGATTTGACTATTGGAATTCATCCCTCGACTAGTGAAGATTTATTTAATCTAGAGGTAACTAAAAGGTCAGGATAGGAATATAGAAAAACAGAATGCTGATCTTGAAATACTGACATCCAAAAATGAACTAACTCACACAGTCATATTGTGTGAGCTGATATTATTTTGAGAATGTCACTATCAAGAGAAACTTATGATTGCGAAATTAAATAACGTCTATATTTGCTGAGCTAAAAACAATTGGTTTTGGTAAATATTGATTTAATGTGAAGCTTTAGAGATTAAACTCTTGTTGAGAGTCTCTAAGGTTGATATTTTCCAATTTTAAGTAGATCATTTATTTATTTCTTAACTATTCAAACTTTCAATATTCTAATTTAAATTTGAAATCGGGGTTTTGGGGTTTTGGGG